GCGGACATTGTCACTAAGGTGGAAGGTCCTCTCTAAGTACATTATAAAAATTCCCACTCTGACATTGTTTATATTTATTTGGCCCATTCAGACTATCTCTGTGTGTTATGATGTGCTGCATTCTGGTAGCCTACTCATTTTGAAGGGGCTGGCAACGCACCTTAACACCCCAAAAATCAGACAGACACCATTTTTTTTCTACACAGCACACCACCAACCACACTGTGCATGTCATGGTGGGCTGTGGTGCATTGTCCATTGCCCACTATTGTGCAGTGCTTAGTGATACCATTCAAATTGAATAGCACAGCAACGCACCCCATTACGGTGCACTCATTGCAGCAAGCTGTGGTAAAACATGCATTTGCTTTTAATATGACTATCTGAATGGGCCCCACATTACTTGGCATTTAAAGCACTTACTGGCATCAAAATCACATACTCAAAAGTACTTAGGTGTGTCAAATTCAAGGCGGTAAATACTTATGCAATCAGCTGAATTTTTGTTGTAATTAATTTAGATCACTTTTGCAGAGATCTGTTTTCACTCTGAGTCCATATTCAGTCAAAAAAAATGAAATTCAATCCACTGTAATTCAGTATTCTATGACAATAGAACATGAAATACCTCTTTTAGGAACCATAAAGAGAGTTTCTTGTGATGAGTTATGTCGGCGTTCTTTCAAGGGTTGTTTGCTAGTTTTTATTTTTTCATCTGTTTTAAGTGAGGACTTTCTTTTCTTGCCCTCATACCTCTTTTGCAACAATTCAAGGACTATGCCTTAGACTTCCCTGCAAATCAATTACCGCATTTCGTCCAGGTGCTTTTCGTTAATTACGGCTAAATTAATCTTGCGATCATCATGGCAGGATGGGGCTGCCGTATGAAAATCGTACGACTATTTGATCATCGGATGAAAAGTTTCGTCCGATAATCATAAGGTGTATGAGCACCTTTAAGGTGCCCATACACTGGATGAATTTCGGACGGTTTTTAATGTACTGGCTGAAATTCGCACACTGTGTGGGGCTGTTGGCTCCATTTCACCCGGCATTCCTTGATCAACTGATTGAAGGAGCCGGCTGGAAAATCTTCGTATGATTAGAGCCAGCAGCAAATGAGCTGCCTGCTCTGATCGTGTATTCTGACAGGTGACAGTGGGACCTGTCAGAATTCATTGCAAACAGCAATGTTTCCTTGATCAAACTCGTTTGTGTTGAGTGAGGAATCACGTCAATTTTTTTCATTCAGCCCGCAGGTTGAACGAAAACAATTGATAGGTGTATGGCCAACCTTACTGTTGACTGACTCTCTTCCTCTGCTGGAAGTATGTTCTAAGCATCAACTAGATGTGAATCATTTGTGCAACGCATATGCACTAACATAACACATTCTGCCTAAAATCTGCTATCGGTATGTACATTTGGGTGTCTGCACTTTATAGTAGTGGTTAAAAACAACAGCAACAATTTCAATGCAAATTACTTACTAGGATCAGGCAGATGATTTTCATGCTCTTCGCTTTCCATTTGTTGGCACCATCCCTCCATCCTGTCTTTTTCTGCCTGCAGAAGCTTTAGAAACCAATGTCCATCTCTGTGACAAACCGACCTATGAACTGCTTCCAATGGGTCTTCTGTTATGGAATCAATCCAGGGGTCTGGGGGAGGTAGTATGGAAGGATCAAAATCAGCATCAAAGTCCTCCTCCACCGCACAGGCGTGGTAATGATTGCCTGAGCCCTGGATGCTGACTGTGGAGGTACAAGCATCTCGGGAATACTGCTTGATCAGTGGCCGACTATATTGAAATTCCTGTTCAGCCAGTTCCACTGGACATTCAAAATGCTCCCTGAGGTCCAGATCTGCTTGCACAGCAGCAGTAACACTGTTCGATCGGGTCAGTCTGCGCAACCTTTAATTAAGGGGAAATCAGAAATCAATTATTCAGCAAACCTATAAACAAAGAAGGTCAGTTAAAGACAGAGTTTAGTATACATAGTTATTATACATTGAAATACCTTTATAACTAGTTTTAATTATACGTAAGATCACCTAATCTTAGTCAACCCAACTCCAGCCATTTTCTTTTCATGGGATGTGATGATAAATCTCTCCAATGGAGTCACTAATACCACCTCCTTCCTTTCTATCTAATTCTAGACCTAACTATATTCCCATTATTACTACTCTACAGTACTCAAGCTTTACCATTTTTATCTTGTCTACTTTTCTCCTTTCTCCCTCTAGAGCAGGGGTGCAATTCTTTATATGATGGCAGACCCCCAATGGATGGTCCAGTATGTCCCCATAGCCCCTTTGCTTGACTTTGGAGATCGTCATCACCAGACCTATCAGGTACCAGTATGACTTCAAACACTGGTAGAACTACCAGGGTTGCAGTGGTCACATGTGCAAACAGGCCCTGGCATTTGACCACTTGGGGAGCCCGGAAAGGAAGTAGAGGGCTCGGCCCTGGTATCCGCCGAGGCGACCACAGTGCCTCTCCAGGGGGCCCTTCATGGTTTCTTGCACCGGGGGCTCTGAAGATTCTAGTTACGCCTGATTTCGAAAGATGTTTTTGGGGAAAATGGTGAAGGAATGTGAGGAAAAACATCTTCAATGGAAACACTAATACCCTCTTCTTCGTACTAACTCTACACCAAATTACATCCCCATTACCTACTGTTCTACCACCCTCTAAAGCTTTACAGTTTTTATCTTGCTTGCTTTTCTTCTTTCTCTCCCTACAGCAGGGGTTTAAGTCCTTTATACAATGACATACCCCCAAAGGATTGTTCAGTATATCCACATAGCCCTTTTACTAAACTGTGGAAATCATCATTCTCATGATCACCAGACCTATAATGTACCAGTATGACTTCATAAGATTTTGATAAACTGCAGTTGTTTACTTTGCATACAAATATGTCTGTGAAGGTTCTCATTCATCAAGGTCATGGTATATCTGTAAAAAATAAGTCAAGGCAACTGGACTTCTGTATTTTTCTTGGAGACCTTTCACTGTTCATCTAACCAGCTTTCTAAATTGAGAAGGACTTGTATAAAAAATTATCTGGGAATAAATATGGTGAATGTTGCTCCAATCCACATAATATGTTAGTCGCAACCAGGTGTTGATTGCATTTATAGGTATAACACCTCCTAGACTCCAATTATGCAAATGCAATCAACACCTGGTTGCGACTAACAGATTATGTGGATTGGAGCAACATTCACCATATTTATTCCCAGATAATTTTTTGTACAAGTCATTCTGAATTGAGAAAGCTGGTTGGATGACCAGTGAAACGTCTTCAAGAAAAATAAAGCAAGTCCAGTTGCCTTGACTTATTTTTTACAGATTTTGCATACAGATAGCTAGTAACAGAATAACTGAAATAAAAACCACATGGATTTTATTATATTTATTTATATAAAAATGTCAGAAAACAAATATACAATGCTAGCTATAACTAGTGAGATTTTTGTTGTTGTCTTTGTGCAATAAAAACATGGAAGCAGGAACAGTTACAAAAAATGTTACTGAGGTGTTCTGTGACAACTGTCTTACTGAGCATTCCCTTCTTTTTGAAGAGATCTGTTCTCATTTTTTGTTGTATATAAAAGGACAGGAAGTGAAGGGAAATCTCCCAGAAGGGGCAAAGATTGGAAAAGCATTCCCTATTTTATCCAAAATGGAAAAACATTTGACTTTATATATACTGTACTTTATCCTAATTTCCCAGAAGAATGGCTAAGTGGTGAGCAAAATGCTGGTAAAATGGTGCTCTTCTCACATTTGTGCAGGTTTCCAAGGTCTGATTTCCACAATCTAAACACATTCTGGTAGGTTAAGATTGCCCTTCAGTGTGTGCTATAAGCTATATTCTATAAGCACTAACTAATAATTTGTATTTTGGTTTAAGGCAAAGTTGGGTGATATAACTGAATATAAAGAAAAAATTAGAATCACATCCAATTTTTAATATAAATGCATTAAGCACGTAAAAGATGGATAATGATTTACTGTGCATTTAATGAGTCCTATAATCTTGCTTTGCTTGCCAACTAATAGCTCAACTCTAGGGGTTGTTTGATGTAACCATTACTCCAAATGTAAAAACAAAATCCCAAACAGTGACCTTTCGCAGACACCCATAGTCAGCGTCAAATAAATAATGTTTCTTAAAATATATTAGTCCATTTTTGGTGCAACAGATGTGTTCAGAAGATGATAGCGGCATAAGAAAGTCGATTATTCTATAAACTATATGCTGTGACGGTGGTTAGCACAAATGGTGAGCGCTTAAGGAACAGTCTTGAAGCCGTTTTAAACATAAACAGGACAGTCTTTTATTTCATTCAGCAACAGAAAACAAAGCTTCAACGATAATACAAGGTCTGCTTGTATTTCAGCAAAACTGAAGGTATGACAATCTCACCACTCCAGGTTGTTGCACATACTCCTTGTGTCCCAGTCCTTGGACATTAGGGTATTTCTTAACAGAACCACAGTCCACCTCTCGTGGCACTCTTAAACACATCCCTTACGTGTCACTGGCTCTCTGTCTCCTCTGCTGTCTTCGAGGTGCCTCCAGCACACACAGCCACCTGGCTCCCCTCTGACATCTGGGTGGAGTCCTACTGACTCCTGAAGACCTCTGTTCCTCTTCCCAGCTGGAGCCCTGAACACATCCCAGCACACTCCTCATGAGGGATGTACACAGGTGCACAATTAGGTGCCGGGCACTACCAAAGCATGGACCCAGGACTGGAGATTTCCTCCCACCCAGAGCTCTAAGAAGTCGACTGGGTCCAGGATCCCAACTAGGATCCAGAAAACCTGGAAAGGACTGAAAAGGCAGTTCTTTCCTGGTACCAGTAATGTCTTCCTGGAGCCACTCAGCCCCTCTGGCTGAGAACCCTGGGTGACTTTGAGGCCACCTATCACCGTGGTAATGCCACGCAGTGCCACAATGCATTGCAACTAATTAGGTTATTGGAGATGGTGTGTGCTATAATAAGAGGATGCATGCGACAATTTACATCTGTACTCAACCACCAATTTTCTATTACATTACTTTTACATTAGGGTCAACCCGTCCGCACCCTTCTGCCTGGCATTCCTTGACCAGAAGATCGTAGGAGCCGTTTGGAAAATCTTCAGCCAATCAGCTCCAAGCACCATTCGTGTATTATGACAGCAGCTGGTACCTCTGTCAGAATGCAAAGTTCACAGCGGGAGATTTGTCCACCCACACTGTTTAGCGTAGATAGAGGAATCTTTTATATTTTTAGTTCAGCGCACAGGTTGAAGGAAAAACATATTACAGTGTATTGCCCACTTCAGTTTTACTTTCACTCCAACTGTTAATAAGAAAGCCGTTTTAAACATAAACAGGACAGTCTTTTATTTCATTCAGCAACAGAAAACAAAGCTTCAACGATAATACAAGGTCTGCTTGTATTTCAGCAAAACTGAAGGTATGACAATCTCACCACTCCAGGTTGTTGCACATACTCCTTGTGTCCCAGTCCTTGGACATTAGGGTATTTCTTAACAGAACCACAGTCCACCTCTCGTGGCACTCTTAAACACATCCCTTACGTGTCACTGGCTCTCTGTCTCCTCTGCTGTCTTCGAGGTGCCTCCAGCACACACAGCCACCTGGCTCCCCTCTGACATCTGGGTGGAGTCCTACTGACTCCTGAAGACCTCTGTTCCTCTTCCCAGCTGGAGCCCTGAACACATCCCAGCACACTCCTCATGAGGGATGTACACAGGTGCACAATTAGGTGCCGGGCACTACCAAAGCATGGACCCAGGACTGGAGATTTCCTCCCACCCAGAGCTCTAAGAAGTCGACTGGGTCCAGGATCCCAACTAGGATCCAGAAAACCTGGAAAGGACTGAAAAGGCAGTTCTTTCCTGGTACCAGTAATGTCTTCCTGGAGCCACTCAGCCCCTCTGGCTGAGAACCCTGGGTGACTTTGAGGCCACCTATCACCGTGGTAATGCCACGCAGTGCCACAATGCATTGCAACTAATTAGGTTATTGGAGATGGTGTGTGCTATAATAAGAGGATGCATGCGACAATTTACATCTGTACTCAACCACCAATTTTCTATTACATTACTTTTACATTAGGGTCAACCCGTCCGCACCCTTCTGCCTGGCATTCCTTGACCAGAAGATCGTAGGAGCCGTTTGGAAAATCTTCAGCCAATCAGCTCCAAGCACCATTCGTGTATTATGACAGCAGCTGGTACCTCTGTCAGAATGCAAAGTTCACAGCGGGAGATTTGTCCACCCACACTGTTTAGCGTAGATAGAGGAATCTTTTATATTTTTAGTTCAGCGCACAGGTTGAAGGAAAAACATATTACAGTGTATTGCCCACTTCAGTTTTACTTTCACTCCAACTGTTAATAAGTGAAAGCACCCTGACTATTCTTGCTGTACTAGATGACTATGCTGTCTGACTAGGCTGAATGTGATGTAAAGGTGACTGATGGAAAGCAGATAAACGCCAGCATTATCTGAACAGTCACATAGTTGATGTACATATTTAGACAATGAAGTATGTCTAAAGCAATAGAATAACTCACTAGACAGCACTTGGACAGGCATCCTCCTGCACATACAGTACGGTTTACTTTGTGAAGCATACAAACACCTGCCCACAGTAGGGTCATCGGAAAGCCTCCCTGTGCAGTATTAGGGACAATTATTGTTTTTTCCTGCATTTTACTAATAGTAAACAATTTTGCTTATAATGGAGCTTGCAGTTAGGCAATCCTACATTATAAAGTACACATTAGAATAATGAAGTTCAGTTTGGAGTGAAATACACAAAGGCAGACATTACTTTCTCCGGGCCTGTGCAGGTTGTGTATGTATAGTATCCTGA